GCAATCAAGAATAGTTAGTTAAGTCAAAATAGTTAGTAATATGAATTTCATCATATCGTCTTAAGCACAAGTGAGTGAATCAAGAAACTCAGTCCACGACTTTCATACCATACATTCTGATAATGGGATTGAAAGACTCCACAATTCCTGTCCATGTTCAAGAACAAATGGCCATCAATATGGCTGCCATTCGAACTGCTACAAGCCTTACTGTTGCTGCTGGGACGGTAGGAGCAGCTCCTAGCACCATTATGCATCTCCAGAAGGGAAAAAGGAATTTGTAACGATTCCTGTTCGGATGGTTAGTTCATGGCGATGGGGAAAGATAGTTCTCTTCTTTTTTCTTCTTCTCGCCTTATGATAGCACTAGGCCTCTGCCTATGTTACCAAAAGTATAAGATATTTGTCTTCTATCAGGAACACCTATCGTAAGCTTTCTCTAACTCTTCTTTTTAAAGAGTATTCTTATCGTAGTAGCAATAAAGATAGTGATAATAATAAAGAACGCAAAGATGTTTTATATTCATTAAAGTAATAAGTAGGAAAAGTACTTAGAAGAAAGCGTGAAGAACCTATACTACTCGGCCATGCTGGCCTCCTTATATAGTGTTCTTCCCGCCTCAAGTTATGTGACCCAAAGTGGTCACATGTGCGAAACCCGTGACCTCATAGCAAGGTCATGTACGAAAACTCATAATCCAATTATAACATAATAAACAAGTCATATGACCCCAAGTGGTCACATGCACAAAATCCATGACCTTATAATGAGGTCATATGCAAAATATAACTCATATGCACAAGGTAAACCTACAAGGCATACTTGCAAGGCATACTCACTAGGCACATATCCCATGACTCATGATCAAGTCATGTGTGAAACATAACAAATCATAATATAACAAGTCATATGACCCAAATGAGTCATACGTACAAAGAAATAACATACCTAGGACTCATAATCATTAGTCATGTGAAATCCTTTTCCATACCAAGCTATATTCATGACAGAAAGGTAAGGAAGAGGGCCAAAGAAGGCAAAAGCTCTTACCTGAAGAAGAGCGAGCAGTGGTACACCAGTGCTACTTCCACTGCATTCTAGGATTTCCACCGACTTTATAGCAGTTGCATGAAATTGCAATCTCAATTGTACAAAAGAGAAATCTCCATGAAACACTCGGAAAGCGATGGAAGGAAGGTTTTAAAAAAAATATCCAGAAGTGAAGTCCTGCTTCAGTAAGTAATTGGATTTCATTTGTATTATTTGTGGAAATAATCAGCAATTAATACATTATTTCTTTGACAAGATATTCATTTTTTCTGATTTTATTATTTTATTTGATTATATATTTTATTTCTTTTCTAAATTAGTTCTTCTTGAACATGTATTAATTAGATTTATATAGTTAGAATCATTTGTACAAGAGTACAAAATTATGCTCCAAAATATCTACAATTTTGATGAAGTTGGATTTTTATTAGGCTGAGGTCAGTGAGAAAGAGTATTAGAGGTTGTTAGAAATCCTTGTGAGAATGGGGAATTGAAGTATTGTGTACAAAGTAGATTTTTATTACTTTATATTAGATTTACTAAAATGAATACAAAGTACTAATGGAAATATAGATGGTGCATGTGAATTGTGACCGTTATTAAAGGTGTTTGTGCTAATAGATCTACACTCAAGATTACAATTATACTTAAAGCAGAACAGTTTGTAGCGGAGTGGTTCAAGAAAGTTAGAGGTATACCAGAAGATATAGTTTTTGGGCGCTCGCATAACGGCTGGACCAATGAGAAATTGGAAATAGAGTATTTGAGACAAAACTTTAGAAAAGACAGTATTACAGCACAGAAAGCGAAATACGAGTATTGACTTCTACTATTCGATGGACACAGTAGCCATGTCAATATGCCATTTCTTGACTTCTGCATTTTACAAAAGATCATTCCCCATTGCCTACCTCCCCATCCAACTCATTGATTACATCCATTAGATGTTTGCATTTTTAGTCTCTATAAATACCAGTATCAAAATGTTAGGAATACAAGAAGCGGATACCCAAGAGTCACCTTAAGTAGGATAACCTCACCCAGAATCAGAATCTCTGGTCTCCAACACCCCCTTCCAGCCCCCTGACTGGGCCTGCATATCATCATACATATTAATCTCAGTTGCATCCTGTGACTATAATACCACAGAGTTGAAGGTATCAGAATAACACAATATACGTCATTACTATCAGTCCGACTGGATCCAGTTGACATGATATGTGAGAGGGGACCTTCCGCTAGGTCTGAAAAGTGGAATAGAGTAAATCTGTCAACTACTCTAAAGGTTAATAGGCTTCAAAGATGCGATACCTTTGGAATGAATCGTAAGTAACAGGACATTTTTACATAAAGAGATGGTATTAAATGGTAAAGGATCTCAGCAAGAGACTAATACATTCACATCCACCCTACAATGTCTGAAAGAATCTAGAACTCTGAGCTATACTACCACAGAAGCCATTGGACTTCATGGAGTATTGAAACCATATTACCCAGAGTAATCAAGAGTTGTCGACCGAGGGAATATTTATCAATCCGGTGGAATAGCTTTCTGTGAATTAGTAGGAAGTCCTCTGGAAGATATCTATTGGTTGTATAAGGAGTTATGCAGGTTTAAAGTCTGATAACATAAAAAAAGGTCATAATATGACTAACTTAGCAGATGCAATCCACAAATGAAACTGATCATTTCATCAATGACGGAAACAATTAGAGCTAACTCAATTCGACTTGAGAGCTAGGCCACAAGTCTAAAGACTGTAAGGATAGGATAACTACTATTGAGAATAGTATAGTTCCAAGTTAGTTATATCGTAATTATCAAAGAGAGTGTGGTGATTTTCAGGGTCTTTAGGTGTTTGCATCTTTCAAGAATACCCAATGTTATGAGTTATAATCAGAGAGATTTATAGTTATATGATAAATAGATGTAGTCTGTAAACACTCAGATGCAGAGTATAAATATTGAAGTACCTCCCAAGTTTTAGACATTATCAAGCAATAGAGGGGACCTTAACAATATAATATTGTTTTACAATTCTATCTTGCTTTACCAAATTTACTTCGCTCATAGTAGTCATAAACGAAATGAGTGAACTTGAGCCTTTCTTGACAATCTCTGTTTACAGAAACGAATTTTAATTGACCTAGACAATTCTGAAGTCTATCAGATTGTTTTCACCTAACACAAAAGAAACTAATGTCCCGCTTTGAAAGATATAAATACGGAGTATCAAAAGAGAATTTTGATAAAATTCTCATAGTTACCCATAGAACTTTCTTCTCATCCAGTAACATTCAAAGCGGATTCCGCAATATAGGCCTTGTTCCTATCAACAGAGACATTGTACTTGCAAAAATTCAAGCCTTGTCTTCTAAATCACCAACAGTTCATTAAACTTTCACAAGTTCCAACCAACCATACCCTAATCTGACTTCACCATTGCCTGAGCCCTTGTGTGCTCTCTTAGTCTAACAAATCGATGACTTGTACATACCACGGAGCAAAGTAGAAATCAAAAACAAGAACTAATTATACTTGCAATGCTGCTGACAAACAACCCACAGGAGTGGGAACAAAAGAAAATAGTTACCAACCTACTCTTTACGGCAAACTGGGAACTTACTGAGATTGAAGAAAAGGAGTGGCAAATTCACAATCAGAAACCACAGTTAGCTGATATTCACCATAAGTGCGGAGTAAATCAAACAAGAATACTTACCTCCAGAAAGGGTTGGATAGATTGAGATGATATTAACCACTTTTTTGAATCTCAATTGACTGAGGAGCGTAAGGTAGCTGAGGGGAAGTACAATTGTGTGACAAGTTTGGTTGCTGTAAGAAGTAAGAAGTTAGCAGAATGTATTGAGAAAAGGAAGGAGACAGAGAAGTTAGAAGAGGAAGGAAAGTTACCTAAGTGTGGCAAGACAAGTGCTACCCTGTGAGAGGAGGAAAGCCATCATACACATCAGATATCTGAGGTGGAGCAGAAGGTTGAGAAATTTGACAAACACCTTCAGGATTTGGCCTTTGATGTGGAAGCTGAAAGTGAAGATTTTCTTGGAGGTCCTGAAGTGGAAAGCGTTGGTGGCTTTGAGGTAAAAGGAGCAGAAAATTTGGAGGAGGGAGCAGGAGCTGATGGAGCTCCTACTCCGAGAGATGTGTCTTTGGATCTGACACTTGATTTGTAGTTTGAACCTCTGAAGTAGACAAGCATTCCTGAGGTGGTTGTGTTTTTGATTGTTATGTGGAGAGAAGAGAAGAAAAATAATAAAATAAAGGCCCTCGTCCATAACGGGTAGAATCACATCCACCATCCATGCCAAGACACGCCGCGCCTCGCTGAGGATGCCACCTCGCTGAGGTGTCTGGCGGTTTACACACTCGAATAACAACTCGTTAACCAAGATAAAATGATTGATCGAGGCTATAACCGCGGTCTAAGGTAATGTGGGGCACTTTTTCATTTTAAGCTCAACTACGTCATGGCCATGGCCCAGGACCTTCTTTCTTGTTACAAGGTCCGACAAGCAATTATGAAACGGTTATTTGGGGTTAACCAGCCGAATATATCCTTATCTGTTCAAGTTAATGACTTCCCTACCCTTGCCAGGTGAGCCCCGCCTTTTGCCCACGGTTGGAGTCAGGTGCTGTGTGGCGGAGCATCTCAGCTCTCGACAAATATCATATCGTATCGTACAGTACTCGGGTAGTCAGAGAACCCCACTCGAGGTCAGGTATATACACATGTGCGGTACCCAGACCTTTGCCTCCATTCACAGTTCACAATGAGAATAAATACGACTTAAGGTCATTTTATTGATAAGTCTACCTCAATCCCAAGTCTCACAAGGCATCCAGCGAGAAGAGGGGAAAAAGAAGGAAAAAAAAACACACCCCCAACCAACCAACCAACCAACCAACCAACAAAACCCCCTCCAGCCAGAATCCGTTGGAGTAACGTTTTATTAAGTATGTATACTGCAAACCCCCGAAATCTCAAGCATGCACACTGTAATAAACCCCACATGTCTTCCAGCGCAAAGCATTCCTCAAATACCAACGTAAACGGTGTTGAGGAAGGCTGGAGACGCAGGGCTTAAAACCCGTGGATCTAAATATCATGTGAGCAGAGCCTCCAACCGAATTGCCGGAAATTATTTCCGAAGAAAATGGCTCACCTTGATATTCTCTTTGGCAAGTGCGTACTTGCCCATCTTGTCGCTTCCTTTATCGGTAAGGAAGTCCATAACCTTTGTACGATGATCGCCTTGAAGCTGGATCACCTCTCCCATGTCCTTATCCTGGATAATAGTGCCATTGCAAGCTGCAACGATGGAGGTAACACAAGGTCAGCGCCTCCGTTATCTCAAAACAATCAAGGGGCAAGATCGATGCCCTGCCTAAACGATATGGAAGACAGACGGGCAGAGCCCCCGAATCGAGCAGAATGGTGGGGAAGGGGGATAATTACCATATTCCTTTTTGAAAGCTTTCAAAAGAGCTTTAGGACTGTATTCTTTAGACAACCCCTGGACAGTCGTCAAGGTCTTGCGACCGTTGCGCTCTGAGAGAAACAAGTAAGTAAAAATGTGCAGAACCAAGTGCAACTAATTTTCTCACAAAAAAAAACTCAAAAGGTACTCACGTTGGATACGAATATGGACGTAATTCTTGGGCTGAGTATCACCAACGTCGTCGGCGAAAGGATCTAGGAAGGTGTTAGCATTCAAAAACGACAGCTTAAGCGATCGAGAAGCATCCAGCAGTAAGGCGGCGAACAAGGCCAACCAATGATATCGGATTAAGCTGGAATCTGAGAGGAGTTGTGCCTCCAGGCGAAAGCACTGATGTGGCGAAAAACTCGAGAAAGAAAAAAGACTCACCATTAACCTTGAGATTTTCGATGGACATAAACAGACTTCGAGGGGGGTTGGGTATGCGGGAAAGCTGTTTCTGGGTGCTTCGGAGCAGTGGTTTGGACTTGAAATGTAGTAGTGTTGTGCCGGTGATAGCTTGTGTGTTGGACGGGAATGCGAAGGGAGAGGGCGGAGGCAGGAATGTTCTTGGTGGGGAGAGAGAGAAGGGGGTACCGTAGGAGGAGGCAGAGGGGTGGAACTTAAATAGGCGCCGCTGGGCCACAGCGAAATCAGTCAGATGGCGACGAAGCAGGGCTGGAGTGGGCTGGCAGCTGGGTTCCCTCCTAATTTACTAATTTACGAGCACAACATGTAACTCGCAAACTACCGGTACCGGCACGCCATCATAGCAACCCACCAAAACGAGGCCCAGCAACCGAAACCAAACCAAACAAACGGAGCCCCACCACCAATCATGTTCTATGCAAAAACCTTATGATAGTCCACTCGAGTACTCTACCTGTGCTCATATGCGTTATGGGTAACCCAACTTTGCTACGCTACCCCGTAGAAGGCTGTGCTGAGTGAGAAAAGGAAATGGAGCAGCGAGGGGAAAAGGAAAAAGGAAAAAGGAAAAAGGAAAAAGAAAGACGACCGGATAGAGTAGGGAGGAACCCCTTCTTCCCTACGATCTTGCCCTTCAAGGACTGAGGGAGAAGTTGAACAGCGAATGAACGAGTGGTCTTGGCGACCTGGTTGGATCTGGGCTGAAGCAAATCGGAAATTTGGCTGGGATTTCGCAGGTTTCCTGTCTGCTGCACGCTCTCCCACTGCTCGCTAGTCTACTCGAGTAAAGGCCTACCGGTATCGTATTGCACGGGGACTGGTGCAGCACCCACAGCGATACAGTACCGTACCAGCACCCGAGTAGTCCATCGTAGTCATGATAAAGCCAAAACGAACCATGAGCTCCCTACAGCCTGTTGCGGCGTTTAGCAATAGCACGAGGTGCTGATCAGGCATCTTTACTTACCCTATCATTTCTTCAGCACTGAGGATACCAAAGCACGACACAAACACCGATACCGCGCGAGTACTCCAGTACAACCTCAGTCATACACTACCGGCACGGCATTATATTGCCCTCCTCTCAAAGGACAGAACTATTTGATAGGGAAGCGCCGAGTCATCTACTCGAGTACCGTACTCGTACTGTTTGCATCTCATCCTCCAGATAACAAGAGAAATCCCTCGTCCGGAGCCCCTATCACCCCCTCAATAAAATTGTCTCACATTCCCGTCACCCTTAGTTCTGTGCGAATTGATCTGATCGTTGCCACCATCGCCGCCTACGACTCATCTTCACCGCAACAGAGTGACACAAGCCCGCCATCGTGGCAGGGCCGACTGAAACCGCCCGCTTCCGTCTCAAGAGCCACAAAATTGAAATGTGCGCTGACGAGGGATGGTAGAAGAGGTATTGATATTTCAATGATACACGACTGCCAACACTAAATTCCAGTACCCTATCCAGCTCGTACCATTCACTTTCCCCCCACCTGACAGATCTATGCTTTTCTAGGAGAAATAGTAGATAGTGAAAAGAGTTCTAATGATGCTGTCCAGCATTTCCGGAGGGATTCGCCCTGGCGTTGGGGTTGCGGGGGTCGTTCTTATACTCTTCGGCTGTGGTTTGTTAGTCAAGATATGGTCCCTAACTTCGTACTTTCCTCGCAAAATCCTCCAAGCACAGCAATTTCCATATGCAAGAAAAAACAGAGCAAAGGGATGGGCCAAAAACACATACTATTGGCGAGAAAATTGGAAAGGCTGTTAACTCCGTAGAAAACAACCACACCTGCACAAATTAGTCAGCAATTCCGGATTGAACCCTCCCGATTAGAAATCCTATGTACCAGCAATATAGAAAGGTGCCATCGGCTTAGCTAATCATCGTGCTCGTTGTTAGTGAGATACTGAGCGGGGAGGAAATTAATAGTAGAAGCATACCGATCGGCGTAGGCCATTTCTTCCCAAAGATTCTTTCGAGCATGGCGAGAGGTCCGTAGAAGTCTGAACGGTTTGATGGTTGGCGTTGGCAGGGAGGCGATTGACGGCGATGAAGAAATTGTGGGAAGTGGTGGTGATGGTTGATGTTTCGATGGTGGTGGAATCGGGTTCGGGTTTGTGGGAAAGGGGACGTTGTCCGTGAAATGGATCAACCCCACCTAAAATTATTTCTAGGGAAACTCAAGAATACAAAAAGCAATAACAAAACATCCACTGAAAAGTGCAAATAGATTCAAACTACAATTTTAGTACATCCTTCACATCAACTTCCAATTCGCTTGACTTGCGCCAGAATCACTTGTGACAAAGAATACCCTGCACAGCAGTGTACGAGTACTCAAAGCTGGCCTTATCAAGAGCCTCCAAACAACAATCACCCTATCCCACCAAAACAAAAGCAAGGCAGAGCAAAAAAATGTCGTTCGGAACCACAAGCACAATTTCCTCACTAAACGGCTGCGTATCCTCCCTCCAAAACTCAATCCGGCTCCTAGACTCTTCGATATCAATCCTGGACTCGGGAGTCCACGATTTCCCACGCATCAAGAAAGTCCTACAATGTACTCGGGTTCGTTCGTCCCGACTGCGGACACTGCAATAGACGGCTAATAGGGGGGTTAGCACTTTGAACTTATCTCCGAGCCAACACTGTACGCCGCACAGACCGCCCTCGCTGACGAGATTGGGCCGGAGGTTGAGCATTTGCTTCGCCGGGTGGAACAGCATTTGGCCAAGATGGAGAGGAGGGAGAAGGCGCTTATTGCGAAGTCGGAGTTGCAGGAGGGGAGGCTGCAGCAAAAGCCTTCGCTCTATACCACAGCTTCTTCAAGGCAGAGAAGTGGACTTGGCGGGAATGTTCAGAATATAGAGAAGCTGAGGATATTGAAGGGGAAGAAGGAAAGGTTGGCTCATACAATTGAGAGGTTATCATTACAGGCAGGTCACAAGGTATATCATTCTTTTCAACTTGTTGGGCTCTTCCACAGAACAAAGGTTGACATTGGCTGCAACCAACAGGAAAGGCAATTGAGGATGACCATGAACTACGGAGCATCATAATGGAGTTTGGTGGTGTCGGTCGGTTTCTCGCACACGCATCACTGGTGAATTGGCGTTATTGCGGCCTTAGAATTATTGTTGGAATCTAGTCACAAATATTCGGGAACACTATGCTTTCCAGTAACTTATTTCAAGGTCCTCAGCACAATCGGTCCAATCAAAGACGCATCTGCAAAGAACAATCAATCCTATCTCTGGCAAACTCCAGCTGCACACTTCGCGATGTCCAAGGACTTGATGACCAGTTCCAACGCATGCTCTAGACCTCCCAGCTTTGCCCAGATAGCCATTAAGCTGGGATCCTGACTCTCAACCCTGACCCTCTCCTTGACCCGCACGTCCCCCCCTCTATAGCTATAAATCTGGTCCTGATTAGCGGCCCCAACTCCATTTCCCCCACCCCCCAGCCCCACAGCCGCAGCAAATCTTTCCCGAAAGCCAAACGGGGACTCCAACGACGGTAATACAAATGCGGGCCCACGATGCTCCGGGGGAGTTAATGGTTCTAGCGTCCGTAGTTCCACTATGAGTGCCGCCTCTGATATATAAACATCAAGCGCAAGATGAGGATGAAGTGGAGGGTCAAATATCTGAGCAATCAGCCTGCCGTAAACCAAATCGCAGAATAGATCTCGGGTGAACTTACTCTGTGATCCATGGCGTGGTAGGGAAACAATCGATGCGCCTGGGTCCCTCTCAATGCATCTCTCGCAGCACGAACGCTCCTCATTGCCCCACCCAGCTTCTCAGCAACGCCCATTCCCCCATTCACTATGTCCAGACCCTCCGCAACGTGATTTCCAACATCCGCCAACTGCTCCAGCACAATACCCTTCCCCTTGGAGTCCAAGCTCAGTTTATGGCAGGCAAACCCCTTTGTATTTGGCAGCCCGTACATCTTGACCTGCATATCCGATTTAATGACTTTATTAGCCACCCGCGTCGCATACCCCTTGAGTGACTCCGAGCGCGGTGAGGAAAGAACTAGCGTAGAGCCTGTGCTCGATGCGAGGAGGTTGGAGCACTCTCGCAGGCCAGAGCGGACATTGTCGACTGTTTCCTGCAGGGTGTCCAGAAGCCAGGCTAGCTCTCGGACCTGTTATCAGTTAGAGCGAGATGAGGATTTGGGGTGAGGGAGAGGTCTGACGCCAGATTCTTCTTCAGCTTTCAATATATCTTCTTCGACGCGTGGGGGGTAGAGGGCTGCTGCCATAGCGCCGTTACCGTTAAACCGATAAGGCTGGTTTGGTTTCGTTAGTTGGTTTGGTTGAAGCGAGGGAGACTGCAGCACCAAGACACATGGAAAAGGCTCAAGTTAAATTTACTTGTAGGATTGCCCGAGACATAGGATCACCCCTAGTCTAGACTACGGTATTGTACCTACCTACCCCCGCGTCCCTGCCGTTGACAACGCCAACGATGAATTCTCTAGTGCTGAGACCGGTCATTAGGCGAACGGGTCTGGCGAGGGATCTTCCCAAGGTTGCTTTCACATCTCAATTCGTACCCTTCACTTCCCTATCTCGACCACCACCCAATTACGAGGGTCATGTTCCGCTCACTATCCCCGAGAGAGGATTCCTTGCTGTGGGTTCGGCGGTGATGTCACTATTGAGCCCTCGGCGTGCAGGTAATTTTCTTCTTCTCCCGAGCTTAGCTCATCCAGAACTACGATAGCTGTCTGTTCTTTATTTTAATGGCCGTAGCCGCCCTCTATCAGGGATGCTAATATGCACACAGACCTGATTGCAGCTCTCGGAGAAGCTACAGCAACACCATACTTCATTTACAGGCTCCGAGATGCCATGCTATTATCCCCTACCGGTCGGAGGATTCTCAAAGATCGCCCCAGAATTAATTCCACCACAATGAGTATGGGGAAGCTACGGGAGTTGCCGGACGGCACCGTGGGCAAGGAATACGTAGCGTGGCTAGACAAGGAGGGCGTCTCGCCAGATACTCGGTCTCAGGTATATATTGCTGTTCCCGTCCAAATGCGCCAAGGGTCTCAAAGTGTATTTTTGCACGTCTTGTTACATTTGGACCAGCGGCGGTTTGAAGACCGTTAGTAAGGCGTAGCCGGATGGTGGCCCCGATATCTACATTGGGGGAAGAATCTCAGAAAGGAATTGCTAACAAGAAATAGGTTAGATATATTGATGATCCGGAGTGTGCCTATGTTATGCAGAGGTACCGGGAGTGTCACGACTTCTATCACGCTCTTACAGGGCTACCTATCATGGTTGAGGGAGAGGTTGCTTTGAAGGCTTTTGAATTTGCAAATACACTTATTCCCATGACTGGCCTAAGTATGTTTGCGGTGGCAAGACTAAAGCCAAAGGAGAGAAGGAGAATCCTGACCACGTACTTTCCTTGGGCCATCAGAAATGGACTGCAGGCCAAGGAAGTGATGAACATCTATTGGGAAGAGGAGTTGGAGACTGATGTGAAGGAGTTGAGGAAGAGGATCGGCTTGGAGAAGCCTCCGGAGTGAGTGTTACCATATTTTAAACATTGGCATTGGTGCTAACATGATACATTGTCTACTGTAGTCTGCGAAAGATCAGAGCAGAATTGAGGGCCCTGAGAAATACCGAAAAAGCTACAAGGGAGTCCGTGCAACATTAGAGTACTACTTGTATCGCTACCACCGCACAAATGGTTCTGTTTCTGCCCGTTCTCTCATGGCTCAGTCGCCCAGCAAATTATTGGTGATAGCGTTAGGGAATTTCAACCCGCTCAGTCCATCATTAAGATGGCGTTTTGTAGAAACAGCACGGCACTCAAAAACCAAGCAAAACACCATTCCCCACATCCAGGATGACCAGAAAATCACGCCACCATTCACAGATCGAAATCGTCGTCATCATCAAGAACACCTTTCCGACGTGAAAAAACAACCTTCTGCTCGGTGGTCTTTTTCTCATCGATGGCATTGATCAGGGCAATCAAGTCCTCCTCCGTGACACGTTGGCGAATCTGATTAGAACGGGCCATCATGATCAAACGGTTCTCAAGATCGCGAGCCCTCGATTCCTTAACCATGGCTATCCGGCCAAGACGGTCGACGGCTTCCGGAGCAAGTATTTGCGAAATTATAGACTTCCGAGCTTCATCTGTTGGTCCCCAGATATGAGTTCAGAAGACAAATGAGACGGCGGGGATCAAGATTTGGAAGGGCAAAAAAAAGAACCTTCTTGTTGCCTATAGCCACGGTAAGAAAATATCTGTGCATACAACATTTAAGGGGGGATCTTATTAGACAATACTTCTTATCATTTCCACCCTGACCTTGGCCCTGTTGGGCGAGCTCCTGCATCCTCGCTTGGCGTATTTTCTGCAAGTCTGTGCTAGCCTGGTCAGCTATGGTCATTCACGCAAAATGAAAATGTAGGAAGCCGAACCATCGTCATCCATGTTGCGAGATCTGTCGGGTATAATGTGACGGATAGATGAGGTCGGGGAAATTTGACGATAGGCGGTGTGGGAGATGGGATGATGGTGGTGATGAAAGGTTCCCCCGTGCCCCTCGTTTCCGTGCTTCTTTGCCCCGCATTCCAGGATTTTTCTTTTGGTTGCGATGCGGCTGCCAAGTAGGGCCAGTGACGGTTGGGCAGCGCCTGGGTTCCCTGTATCATGCTTGCGTAGTTTTCCTCCCCGAGCGGCTTCAGCGGCGCGAGGGCCGTTGTTACTTCATTGGGGCGAAAGTTGCACTCGTTAGACGCCGTACTCTTCCCGTCAGGGACTGATCGGATGGTTACAGGGCAAGATTTGTTTGAAGCATGACAGGATATGGGTGCTTTTCCATGCCCGAGCAGCCGCCTTACTCTCTGCTATCATAGCTGTACCGGTACGTGTACAGTACCGGCACGGTACCCGTACCCGAGTAGGTACTCGCACTCCACTCAATCGCCCATTTCTCCGGCTCTTTTCCCGGCCAATTCGTCACCCATTCTTCCTTGTCACACACCGGTACTACAAGCACCGTACTAGTACAACCGCTTGCCGCCTCTTCCCTCCTGGATTCCCCTGTCTTCCTTTTTCTTTGCCCTTTCGTGAGCTGGGATCCACAGGCTCCAATCAGCCAGCAAGTTGCTGTGCGAGCACGTACTCGTACAGCACAGATGGCACTTGTACCGGTGCAGAACGGTACGTGTATGATACCGATACTGTAGAGGAGAAACGGACACAAGCCGCTTATCCTAATTCGATTTTTTGGTACTGTAGAAAATGGTAGCCATCATTCCGTCACCCGTCACTTCCTTCTTGAGCTTATTCCGTATGGCCTTTTTGGCGTTTTTGAGGGTTTAGCTACACCTCGCAGTTACAGTTTAAGGCTTAGTCCTCGCCAGGCGCCTGCTATCCTGTCTACTTGGAGAAGAGAGAGTGTGTTGCACTTTTTCCCGCTCCTCTCTTCTCATCCCTCGAAAAAAGCCTTCCTGCTGCTGCTTCCTGCTTGCTATTTGCTGCTCGCTGCAGCCTGTGTTGAAGCATCTCGTTTCCCCTTCGTCTTCTTCCGGGAAACCTGCTCCGGTTTCACACGCCTGCCGGCCAGCCAGCCAACAATCCGCCGGGACAGACTGATACCGATACAGTACTTTATTGTACTCCTACAGTACCATACCATTGACAGGACAGACGGTTGGGCTAGCGAACCAGACACTTCTGCTCTTTCCCTTCCTCTTCCCCCTCTTCCCCCCCTTCCCTTTCCTCTTCTCTTCACCTTCTCTCATTCAGTTGTTAGTCCAACCATTCCCTCCTTTCCTTCCCTTTTCCTACAGTACTCCTAGCCATCTTCCGCCAAACCTTTCGCACCGCTGTTGTCACCCTGTACACTCCTCCCCTCCCCCTTGTAGCTGTCAGTTAGCCAGTCGATCCTTGACATTTCCCTCCGGTCCCTTCCGCTGCTACACCATCATTCTTTCTCTCGCTCATAGCTTTTACAAACATTTTCCCATTTTCTATTCTCTCTCTCACCTTCTATCTCGAATTTCCCCCTCCTCGCGAAAAAAAAGGGAGTGTCAATCGTTGCATCAAATAGATCACCGCCCCGCTTCGAACCGTTCCCATACTCGAGCATAAAGAAAAAAAGTACTCGTACACATCTCTCCCACGAACTCTCTTCTCTCATTCACCTCCTGCTCCATACATATCTCTCCTCAACTCTGTTCCCATCTTCTCCGACCCTGCCCTTCGCTCCTGTTTCCGCGCTTCCGAGCCATCCTTTGGCCCCTCCCGACCCCCTTCGAGACTTATTTCGTTCCAGGCCGCCAAGCTGGCTGAGTGAGTTTTCCACGATAAAACCTGGCTCTCGTAGCTGTCCACCATGTCGCTAAATCCTTTCGATCTCTCTCGCAGATATCTTTATCTGGTCCATGCCAACGGGCCGCATGGGCCCCCCTTTTCGGGACCTTCTTCGAAACCTCCTCTCCGTTCGGTGACGACGACCGGCCATAAACTCTCACCCTTATCTATAACCTCCCCGCCAGCGTTTTCAACAATGACCGCAGACCGTCCGAATCTGTGCAAATCCGCTAGCGAGAGCGCTCTACGGGTCCCGACCCCTGATGGAACATCAAGTGGCAGGTCAACACCCGGCGAGAATGGGAGCATGGATCTCAATGTGGAGGTAGCAGCCCTCAGTAATAAGCTCATTAATGCGATCAATCATCAGACCCAATTGGACGACTCGCTCTCGCAAACAAGACATGAATTGGAGATTTCCCGTGCAAGAGTTAAGCAATTGGAGGCGGTGGCCAGGGAGAACACTGACATGTTGGCCAAGGGGCTGCTGGTCAAGAAGTCGGACATTGAGGCCGAAACGAAGCAGCTCAAAGACCGCTTAAATGAAGAGAGGAGGTTGAGGACCAAGGCTGAAGAAGAAAAAAGGGTCATAGAACGGGAATTGGAAGGTTTAACAGCTGCTTTGTTTGGTGAGGCTAATGAGGTAAGCAGTCGCTCCTTAGGCCTATTTCTTGTCAGTTCCGGGTCCTGTTTCTCGCAGTTAACAGTATTAGATGGTCTCCGTAGCGCGGCAAAAGGAAGAGGCGGTTGATAAGAAGAATGAGCAGCTGAGATCTCAATTAGCTGATACTCAGCTCCTTTTGGCTTCTCACCAGGAGCAACTCGCCGAATTAAAGCAAGTAATCCAGCAAATGACAGCGGAGAAAGAGGAAGCAGAGACCACTATGTCTACCGGGACACCTTCAACTCCGGCGCTTGGGAGTAGGACGAGCAAAGAATCGTTAGGTCGTGTCTTTGAGGCCTTGCACTTGTCTCCCGACCTGGCCACTATCGAAGATGTACAGCCGTGCCCGCCTACATCCCTAACGAGCTTGATATATCCTGTCCTTAGGCATGATATCCCAGCCTATCTCGATTTCTGTGAGGTTTTGCATTCTCCGAAAGGAGGTACCAAGACTTCGCCCATACCCCGACTGTCAAGCGGCTCTTTTTCGCCTATACAAGCTATGGGTATCGGAATGGGTATTTCCTATGGTTCATCATCAACCAGCAACTCCTCCACCGGGCTCTCTAGTGCCCTGTTTGGAGCTAGGGTGGACAAGGGCAGTGATGGCCGTCCAGCAAGTCCGGCGGGTGTCGGCTCCGCTATCAATGGCAATGCTCAGCAGCAGATCGGACTCGCCTTAAAGGAAACTAAATTTTATAAGCGAGTTTTGGTTGAAGATATTGAACCTACTCTCCGGGTCGATTTGGCGCCTGGGCTTTCCTGGCTGGCTCGCCGGAATGTGTCCTCAGCAATCATTGATGGCTCCTTGCAAATCGATCCTCTTCCTATGAATTCGAAATCCAGTGCCGTTAGTTGCTCCATGTGCGGTGAGAGCCGGTTGGACGAGCAGCATGTCAGGACTCATCAGATGCGCACGAGCGATAGTGCAACTGCCCTGAGACACATGCTATGTACCTATTGTGTCAACCGCACAAGGAGTGTTTGTGACTTTCTGGCATTTCTACGAACTCTCAAGGAGGGCATGTGGAAGTGTGACAGTGAAGGTGATGAGAAGCATGCGTGGGAAGAATGCATCAAGCTGAGGGAGCGTATGTTTTGGTGCAGAGTCGGGGGCGGGGTAATACCAGCCTTTATTCACAGGGAATCGGCGAGAAATTCTGAGGATCACGGCGGAGCTGGGAGTTTGAGGCCTGCCGGTGACGAGACCCCACGTGATCTGCAATCTCCTAGGACACCAGAATTGAGAGGATGTGAAGGCCAGGTGAAACTGGAGGTTCCCAGGAGGAGAATAAGTAGGGAATTACCACCAATTGTCCCTGGGAAGGCTTCTGTTAGCGAAACTCCTTCGCCGATAGCTCCTTCGCCGGTCGACAAGGAGCTTCCCCCACCTCCTAGAATCTCCCTCGACAGCACCGCGAATGAAGAGGCAACTATTGAGAACCAAGAGCCGTCCTGGGAGAACGGTCCTGCTGTTGGCATGACCTCGGAGCATTCACCCCCCGCAGTCTCAAAGCAACCCATCGAGCCCGAATCGTTGGCTGCCCCGATCGCAAAAACACCTGGACCGCCTGCGACCACTACTAAAAAGGAGCCCACTGCGCCCGCTGGCGCAGCCGGGTCAGATATGGAGATTCCTCAAGCAGTTCCAGGAGCTTGGTAGTAATCCTCTAAGGCGTTTATAATACTGGAGATATTATTTTATACGAAAGATAATGGATTGCTGAAGCTAGATTTTCGTCCGGGGGGGTGTTATGGGCAAATGTTTTATGTTGGACTAATGCAATGGGGAAGGGGGGGATTTTGCTGGGGCCGAGTATTTATTTTTATTTTTATTTTTATTTTTATTTTTTTCCTTCTTAATATTATACTTCTTTCCTCTCTCTTTCCTCTCTCTTCTCTCAACTAGCTTCTTTCCTGATATATAGTTTTACCACGATTCCATCGTCCAACTGTGTTTGTTTCTCTGGAGTTCTTTTCCTATCCCCCCCCCACTCTACCTGTTTCTATTTTTGTTTCAGGATCTCTTGTTTCGCATTTACAGAGGTTTCACGGTGTACCATGTCCTTTTTTTTCCTTCTCTTTTCATTTCTCTCCAGTTACCTTACTTTTTTTACCTTCCGTTTTTCGTTTTCATTCCTTCTTGCTTTGATATTATCATATGTTACGGGACACGAAGAAAGGAAGAAAAAACTGGAACCAGAGGCTGTTCTCTTTTTTTATTTGGCTGTAACGGGCTTCTATATCATAAAAAGCTGTTCTTTTCTACGGCATGCTAAGTTTGGTTTTATTCAGTTAGTTAATACAAGGCTGGGCTGGGCTTAGGTTCTTCCAGATATCGGTATCATATGGAAGAGGTTTCCGAGTGATTTGCTGTGCGTTTGATATCCTGGTGAGGGGTGAAATTGTTCGGCTTAATTTTGCTCCCCATACTGTTTTTCCAGCCCAAATCCGACTCCGGTAGTGTATAACAAACCGCTCAGCCCCCTCTATATCTCCCCCCTCCTCTTCCTCCGCTGCATCTCAAGAACCACGGGCGCAGCACGCATTCTCGCAAACTCCTTCATAGCGACTGAGTCCGTCTCCGTGCGGATGGCAGTTCCAATGGACATGAAGAAGCTGTTTTTGCCGTTGGTTAATCAAGTTGCGCTCCACTGGGGTAGGGGTCAAACCCAAATGTAGCGGCAGAGCCGAGCATATATTGTCCTAGTGAGCGAAGGAACCCGTTTGGACCTGCGCCGTGTTTCATGAGGTTGTAGCCTCCTATCATCTCAGTTAGTTGTGCTGCAGCGGGAGGGAGGGGAGGGGGAGCACCGAAGAGGAAGCCGATGCAGAGCCCAACGGCTGTTTATAGTCGTTAGCATTAGTATGGGAGGGTAGGGAGTGGAAGGCAAACAAGTCCCCATTATGGCCCCGAGTTTCACTAATCTCCGTTAGCAAATTGAATAGGGTACGGAGAGGGAGAGGAAGAGGAGGGATACTCTTGTCGAAGAGAGTAGGGCCATGAGAGCCATGGCCTCCAGACGCAGATACTGGTACGGGCATGTTTGTGGGTTTTGTGGTGGTGATGATGGTGGGGTGAGTGAGTTGTGGCGGGGTGGTGGGGGATAAGGGATGGGATGGGATGTGGATGTGGATGTGGATGTGGATGTGGATGTACGGTACTCGAGTAACTTAGTGGCTGGTTTGGTGTAAGGGTATGATATGATATTATCCCTTGGGCGGTCTGAGACAGTAAAATTCGCGACAGGCACACTAACCAATACGCTAATCCAGACCTGGGCGCTTGGCAGCTTATTAAGACATGCTGTGATATCAGAATAAGAGAAGGAGTTTATATATGAGTACAGTAACCAAGAAAACAACGGTCGTGAAAAAAAAAAAAAAAAAAAAAAAAGAGAACTAAGAAAGTTGAAAGATCTATTAGAGTACATGAATATCCTTATGACGAATATTAAAACAATGGCGGCAAAGGGCAAATCCACATCCAGGGCCATGACACCGATACTGAGTAGTTGGTGCTTGCTTGTCCTTCTAGTTCATAGCACGTAAAATAAATTGGCACTGAGTACATTCCAGCCTTTTAGAGCCAAAATGTATATACTGATGGGGGGTTGAGTTGCCTGGTGGACAGCTAGGGGCAACAGGAGAAGGAAAAGTGGTGTGCTGCTGGAGTTTACTGTAGCAGGTTTTGTGGATGTAGGAGGCTTTGCAAGGCTTTGAGGTGGGCATTCAGGCATAGTGAGAAATTAAATTCTCTGCAATAGCAACACAGAAGAGCTGGGATTCAGAAAGTAGTCTGCAATTAATGGAGACTCGGTGAGAGAGAAGATAGGAATTTATTACGGTGGTATCAAGAAGTCAGTAGAAGATCGGATGCCAGTTCCGTAAGCATTTCAGTTGTGTGAAGCAGTAGCTCTGGTACTGGTCCGAACCATCTACTTCTACCTTATACTAGTTGTAATCGTTTGTGATTACAGGTATTGGAACATTTGCCCAGTCTATAGTACCAAAAGCCTTACCAATTGCAGGTCTATTGCTGCTACTCTGTTGAGGCTTTTTCCACAAAATGGTAATCCTGTCTTTCCAACTATGGATTGTTGTATAGAAGTGAACTGCACTCTGATCCTGCCATTGTACAGCCAATACCTTTCCAGTACTACTAGCAGGGCTACCAGAGAGCTCATTCCAAGGAATATTGGACTGATTATCATGTAGGTGGAGTGGAAAAGCAGTTTTCCGTACTCTTGCTGTACGATATCCCCCAATTCCCAAGTCTCTTAACCTCTCAAAAAGCACAATTGATGGAAAGTAATTATCCATATAGAGGTTAAAGTGAACCTAGGGGGTTCTAGGTAGAGCTAATGCTAGCTGGTATACTAGTGATCCAGTAATCTTAAGATCACTATATTTAGTCTAAACTTATTAGTTTAAATTTCTAATTAAAATTCAAATCATAATATTTAAATAGAATTACCTCAAGCCCAGCAACAGACTCACTTCTAGAAGCATATAGCCAATTATAGGCATACTCGGTATCACATAAGGCAAATACCTTATAGCCTTCTGTAATTGGCTTACTAGTCATTCTATAGGTATGAAAGCTTTTTTCCCCCAAGTAAATCATCGTTTCATCAACAGTTACATTTGACAGAGGTAGGTAATATTTTTGACACCGGTCACGGAAGATGTGATTGAGTGGTTCCAGCTTTTGGAACCACTTGGCCTAACTAAGCTGAATCTCCAGATCGGATATGTGTAAAACGCGCTTTATCAGACAGAAGTGCTTTAATGACATCGCTCGAACTAGTGTGGATCCTCAGTACTCCTCCTTCCAGTAATGCCATACTACTACCTCTCTCTTTGTACCTAAATACAAAATCAACAGAAGAAAAACCCGTACTTCATCTGAAGTTACCTTTTTCCACCTCCTCCATCCTAGTCCTCTAGCGCCTATCTTTTCCTGCTCCCTTTCCTTCATTACAGCATACTTATTGGTACCTTCTACCAAGATACTAATTGTAATCTCATCTAAGAAGAGTTCAAATAATTGAAGTGGAGTGATTTCACTATCATTCCATAGACGCAAAGGCAGACCAGTAAGCTCCATCCGAGATTGAAGTGGTCTGTAGGGCTCTGGGGTAGTTTCACTAGCATCATGGTTCCCAGATTAGTCTAGATTTCCCCTTTGCGATCACAACTTTTCTGTATCACGTCTTGTACTAACTCTGGGTATCATATTTGATGAAAGCTGTGAAAGAGGAATTTGTGACTTCTTTGATCGTGGCATGAGGGAAGCTTGGTATATCTTCTTAATCAATTTACTTTACATCTACATGTTATAAGATGTGAGGTTGCCATCTCTTGTCAATCTTTACAGAGTTTTTCTTTAACATACCTGTCGCGGATTTTACTGTCTCAGACCGCCCAAGGGATATTATATCGTACTGGTGTGACCTAGGGGGATAGGGTAGGGTAGTTTATCAGTCATGCAAGTCATTTCATCACCCACTAAATGTTTGTGTTAAGTAGTTTGCTAGATGTGCAGAGTTTTCTGTATTCAAGCCACCTTTCTGTTCCTTAGTTTAGGAGTGTGTGACCATTGGGAGTACACCATAGGAAAATCACCACTCTTAAGTTCTTTCAATTTGGCCGAGCCACATTTCCTTTTAGCCTACCCTTGTATAGTGGGTTTATTGATAGTCTGTTGGGTCATTTCTACACTTATCTACTGTGTGGGTTAACGAGAGGTCATAACTGCATCATGGAGATAGGATACGGTACACACAACCCACCATCAAATCAATACAGGTAGAAGAAACAGTGTGACAACTGGTACTCTGAAATGGATTGGGGTTAAGAAGCTTGACGACTTGCTCCTCAATCATCACATCAGATCTTGTCATTACCAGTGTGGAATCGCAAGATTGCGGATGGAATTGAAGAGAAACTGGTGCCTGTCCTTGGAGAGTGCCTAGACTGCTTGAGGGCAACAAGACTAGAAGGAGCTGAGTCAGACGACCTAAGTATCTTGTATTATAGAAGGGACAGGTACTGGTACTCTATCATAATGTGTGAGCTGTGGGAGGAAACGAAGGAGGAATTGAGAAGTCTGAGTCAGTCAGCATCCTCCGGGTATCCCGTGTTGTTAGCTAGTTGGCTTAGTGGTACAATAGGTCGACAACACAAGATGGAATTGAAGTTTACTGAAGAAGAAGAGATCAAGATGAAGGAGTTCTTAGAATGGATGGACCCATAGTTCGCTACTTTAGGTGAAGAGTTTGATGGAGTAACTGCTAAGTCGAAGAGGATGCGGGTAGCTTGGCTACATGTTCCTTGTCCGGCACGCTCCGTTACTGTGAGGTTCATGCTTGCATTAGACCAAGATGTCTAGTGGGATGAGGAGTGGCTGAGGGAGGCCATGATTGACCGGTTTCATAAGGCTGAGTGAGAAGACCAGACAGATGAAGATATCTTGATGACAATGAGCACCCTCCAGCAAGGCAATCGTGATGTCTTCAGGTACTCATGCAAGGTGCTGAAACTACTCCTGTGGAAGCCAAGCCGCCCTCGGCACTACGACAAGATTCTCATTGGTTACTACCTTATTGGCCTCATGAGCCGACGTCTGTAGGAGCTTAGCATCATGAGCTTCTGTAAGCATGACTTACAGGAGACTCCTATCCAGGTTGTTAAGGGCGTGATGCAACTGGCCACCCAGCTGAAGATTAAGGGCTACCGCAATTACGATAGTAGGCAGAGTGGCGATGACGATGAGGAGGCAGATAGGAGTGATAGTGGCATTGACTCCAATTATGCAGAGGACTCCAGCAGTGCTGAAGATGACGATAATGATGATTATTGGGATTGAAGGAAGAAAAAGACAAGAAAGGTAGTAAAAGTGAAAAGCTTGAGCAAGAGGAAAGAAAAGAGACTGCCGAGTCAGGAGAAGGAAAACTGTAGAGGTAACGGCCATGAGGAAAACGTTAGTAG